CTATATTTGATTTCACGAAGTACAAAATATTTTTTTTTCATTTTCAATTGCTTTACTTTTTTAAGCGTGAAATTTTTTTTAGATATATAGAATTAATAAATATGCTAATTGTATATTATGTGTAAATAGCGCATTAATTAGCATAGCAACTTTAATTAATTTATTGATTAATTAGCACAAATTAGTTTAAATAATATTAAAGGTTTAAATCAGCATTTATTTTGATTAGCTAACTAGTTTCGAAAGATTTCGCTAGTTTCATCTAGTTTCACCAATTTCACCAGTTTCATCAGTTTCACCAATTTCGTCTTAGTTTCAGATTATCGGAAAGTTTTGGATTTTAGTTCTTGAAAGCTAAAACGTTTTGATCTTAAGATTTTGGTTTCGCTCACACCTTTACTTTAAACATTCACAAGAAAATTTGAAAATATCGATATTCTTAACTTAAAGAATTCGTAAATGCTCATAAAATTACAAATCCCTTAAAAAGATCTTTTACTACATCAGAATATTGTTTTTCAACAAATTAACAATCATTCGATTATACAGTGAACTTTTTATATAACAAATTCTAGGATCTGGATATCAACTTCGTTATAAGCTTATAATGAATTTTTTAAAGAATTTAATTGGCTAGTTTACTATAGTAAAGGTAATTTTAATATATTTGATTTAAAAATTCACTATATCAAGGGTTCGTTATATCGAGGTTTGACTGTAATAAGTTAATTAATAAATAGTCCATTTAGGATCTCATTGGTCAAATTTTTGGGTATATAGGGGTTAAGTCCTTTTTCTTTTCTAATCACTAGAATATGATGACATAGTTTCAGTTATATTAGATTCTAGAGAAGTGCAAGATCAGTCTTGATTTAGATAGTTTCATGGTTATTTAAATAAAGATTTTTGACCAAAAAATTAAAGAGAACTTATCTTAGTTTTAGAGGAAGACATTTTAAAAGATTTTTTTAAAAAATAAAGTTTTAGAGAATATTGTAGAAAATGCCGATCTTTGGAAAAATGTATTTGAAATAAAAAAATACTATAATTATTTAATAATAATAAACATTTAAATCCTACTTGCACCTTTAATATAATTTCTTAACTTGTTATAGAATAATATAATATTATTTTCTTATGCATTTTTTGAAAAGAAATCTATAAGTATACACCTTACTAAGAATCGCTCTGATAGAGCGAAGAAATATCGTTTTATCATAACGATAGAAAGAATCGTTTCAATAGAACGATAAAATGATAGAAAAACGTTCCGATAGAACGATTATGCATCGTTCTAAAGAAACGATAAATAACATCGCAAATAAAAATATAATTAACGAATGATGTTAAATAACCTCATTCATTAGTTTTTTTATTCATACAATAATACGAAAGAAATTTCTTGTCAATGCACATAGTTCAAGTATATATAACCGAAATCTTACAAACTTTTAACATAAAACAACTAGATCTTATTACACAACTCTCTCATTAAACTTTGAAGCATGAAATCGCGCAGGCGGTTCGAAAGCATGCAGCTGCTGATTGAATTGGTCACCATCGTATCGATATTTTTCAAGTTCTGCTCGTTTTTCTTCCTAATAATATATAATAAATATATTAATACGTTAACTTAAAATTATGATAAAATCTATTAATTAATACCATCGAAACTTCATTGTCTCTGTAAATTAATTCTATATTTGGCAATCCTGTTCGAGCAGAGGTTTCTTGTGTTGCACTGTACAGAGCAGTTTCATTTGTACTCGTTTCGGAAGGATCTGTAGAAGATGTTGATATTGAGTCATGACAGTATTTACAACGTAAAGAGCATGATATTACTGACCTGACGGAAGTATTCCAACTGAGTAAATTTGAGATGCAGGTGCAATATTATTATTCGAATAAATCGCCGATGTTCCCGTTGTAGATGGTTGAATCTGTCCTCCAGGTGGTTGACTGACACCAGATATTGGATGACGACATTGTTCAGGAATTTGACTTGAAAAATGTGTAGAATATGTTTAATATACAGGAATGACATCAAAGTAAATAATAAGTTTCTACTAACCCCGGCCGAATAAGTAAATATGTTTGTGCTAAATTAACACCAGGCCTTTGATAAAACTGACTGTGCTGGTGAGGTATCAACGATGGCATATTTTGTTGAGAATTATAACCAGAATAAGAGAATGATTGGCCCGCTGTTGGAACATTTTGCATCATTGCTTGATGTTGAGCAAGTTGCTCCTCTCCAGTTAGTTCCGTAAGTTCTTCTGTTATATATCTTTTCATATCAGCTTCGGGAATTCCTTCCATACCGAATATCTTTATATCCATTGATCTCCGTCCTTTTATTGAATTTGGAACCCTAAAAATTAATTTTTAATAAATTGAACAAATAATAAAGCAATTTAATAAAAATAAAAATAAAATCAACAAAACTATAAAGGGCTTTGAAATTGGAAACAAATTAAAAATATATCAAATTTAGCAGAAAATTATTTTAAATATTGAAAATTATTTATCCTTACGTGTAAATTGTTTGTTTGTGATATTTGTCTGCATGAACAGACAGTTCACGCGTCGTATTGCACTTTTTATTACAGTAAGGACACTTAAAATGCATTTCTTTTTGATGTAGGATTAAACGCTTTTCTTCATCAAAATCACTATCACCACAGTACCTATAAATAAGTAATGTTTACTTGACAGTATCAGTAATAAACTTGGATCCTTTAAATTTAACTGAACTTACCAGCACCATGGCCTTCTTTCCATTTTATTTAGAATACTAAAATTTGGGAGGAAAAAAAAATTTATTTTTTTTGAAAGAAAAAAAAAAGGTAGCGATATATGGGTGGTGTGCTATTAAAATTGATGTACGGATCATATTTACTATGTCTCGTGCTTCTGACTCATGTATGATCTATGAACAGTTTATTTGAATAGAAAATTATTAACAACCATGTGATAATGTTCTTAGTTGTGGAGAAGTAATTGCTTTTACTTTTTAGCTCTAATATTATCGTGGTGATTCAATTTATTATTTATTAATTTTTTCATGCAAATTTTATCAAGAGAGATTCGGGCGATCGATTCTTTCTATATTCGTTTACTGATTTTACTGATTCCAGAATAACATTCTAAATAACATTGTCATCTTATATTTGATTATTGAAGAGTGATGCTAAAAAGAAAAAATATCGAAAGATGAATTATTGTAGTTTTACCATGAATTCAAATATCTTAATGATTACAAAAATATGTTTAAATTATATTTATATTGAGATATTTAGACAAAAAATTCAAGAGAGACTTCGAATTGCAACATTGCATTCTGGATTATTGAACGAGTTGCGATCAATATTCAAACATATAGAACATTACAAAAGGATTTATTATTCATAGTAATAGACATTGACGTTTTCAATATGTCAAGAAAACAGATTAGTAAATATTTGAGAGAAGTTTTGGAGAGAATTAAAATTCAATTTAAATACATTAGATTAGATGCATGCAATGCATTATAAGAACTATAAGTTATCATTTAGGTCGAGTATTATCTGAGCAAACCTAAGTTGATCTATTTCTAAATTTCTAAATGTAATAGCCTTTTACAAAAATACAAAAATCATGTTCGTACTCTCCATCTTGTTATTTTTTTTAAATAAATATGCTAATGCAAAACCTGTACCATAATATTGAATTGACTAAATCACTGAATAAAGTTCATGTCCTAATCTATTTGTTTTATAGGTTGCATCTATTTTCTTGTTTTAAGTTATTCAAAAAAAATTGTGTATAAGAACCTAACAATTTGGTTCCATTATGATTATTAAACAAAATTATATTCTTCTAAAAGAATTTTTGATTATTGTATTTGATTAATAATATCTCGAATAAATTTTTTTCGAATAAATGTTGTCACCATGCATAAACTTGCTTTTGTGTTATTTCAGGATGATTATGTTCTAAATATTACTTGGTGGAGTTAAATAAAGATTTTCTTTAATTTTATTTTTAACTTCCTCAGTAACATAATCCAGTTAGTTAAGAATTTTATGCTTGATTAACATTGCAATCTGAAGAGTACCTTCACTTCATAATTAAGTTATTCCATTGATTCACGGTAAGATTCTGATGTTTCTTGATAAATTTTACATCAGAATCGAAATGCATATATAATACATATTTTTTTTGTATTATAAGTATTCTTATAATTATATCGCTATTACCAATTAAATTTGCAATTTTTTTATGATGTGAGTCATAAATAAAAACGTTCAAAATAATACTACATTTAAAGTCAATTCCAACCGATACATTTTTATAATTTTGATTGGAATCAATAGTAACTTTATGAAAAAGTCTTTCGGCCATTCTTAGGATATCTTAATAATAAATTGGCGAAATAATTACAAGACTTTAAGGTTCAGTTTTTGTTATTGATAAATTGATATATAGGATTAGATTTATACATTTTTTTTAATATTATGGTTTTATTATTACTTGATCCAATTATTTCATGCAAAAAAAAATATACTTTTATTACGTTTTATTATTTCGCAAAATCAAAATTCTATATAAACAACTAATAAAAATGAGAAAAGATGATAGCTCTTAATAATTGTTTTGACAGCATTATACCTCCTTTGTCTGATATTGCTTCAGTTAGGGTTCTATACATTCTCCTGGGCTTATGGTATTCGAAAGGAACTTTCATTCATTTTCAATTCTAGAGCCTGTGCGCACGCAAAGTGAAACTTTACTATCATGCAGCAAATCTTTTGCTAGATTATGCTTCTGTTGATTTAAGTTGTGGTAGTAAAGCTATACTGTGAAATATTGTTATATCTCAGCTTCTAGTAATTTAATTAAATAAAAATTTGATATATTATATATAAGAATATATAATAGTTATATGAAAATTTAATATAATTCTAATCAGTAAATCTTGTAATGAATGGTGTTACATTTATTGTTCAGAAACTTTTAGCTGAGGTCTGTATAAGTATATTTAATATTAATGGATTTTATGAAAGTTGAGTTGTGAAGTCTCATATGTCTTAAAATTTTTATTTGTAACCATTTTATTCTTAAAACTAATAAACTATTATTGCTAAAGATGATGCAGCAATTAATTTCAAATTTACAACTTGTTGCAACATAAAAATAGAATTGCAATTACCAAAAATTGTCACAATTGTGTTAGAAAACATATCACAATTAAATTTATTAATATTACAACTAGGTTACAACTCATATAAAATTTAAAAATAATATAGGAAGTATCTTTATTGCAATATAAGCTAAAATTAGTTGTAATATATGTTGCAATAGTGTAAGTTACAATATATATAAATTAAAATTAATTGCAACATATGGGATGTGTGCTAGGAAAAAGAATCAAACCAACAAAAAATTTTTTTTTGAAATAATAAATGATCTGAATTAGATGATCAAATCTACATCTACTTTACTTAGGAACTTTTTTCTAAAAAAAAAATCAATTTGGTCTATTTTTCTAACACTCATCCTATATGTTATAACATTAAAAGTTACAACATATTAATTACAGTTTTATATTTAGTCATTATTATAAAAACTTGTATTATTTACATTTTTTAATTTTAGAATACTTTGATTAGATCTATATTATTTTTGGCAGAAAACTTCTTTAGTAAAATATCTTTTCCATATAGCAACTTTAGCATATTTTTTAATAAAAATAATAAATGATATTCATACATTATATATTACAAAATTATATTATATATTATTAATTTTATCATGAAAATTTTGCAATAAATGGTTTTTATTCTCTTTATTGTAATAGTTGAGTTTAGTCTTAAATTAATATTAGAATTATCATTGTCTCTCATATTTCTGTTATTATTATTTGCTTTTAATTGTAAACTTATTTCTTGACCTTTTTATTAATCACATGCAACACATTTATAATCATTTTTATGATTTAGATAACACTTATATTTCTTAGTGATTTCTAATGATTTTTAGATTATTCTTTCTCAAATACTTTTAAGATACATCTTATAGGATTTGCTTATTTTTATTACTCTTTTTAATGTTTTAATTCTCTTTTTTATATAAGAAATTCTTTGCATTATTTAGTTATTTCACTAAATTTTTTATTTTTTTCTTAAAGTTTTGGAATAAGTAAATTAATTTATTTAATTTAAGATTTTTTATTTATTAGTAAGAAATAAATTAGAATAATTGTATAAAAGGTATAAAAGAATATTTTTAATTTGAAATTGGAAATTTAATTCAAAATTTATTTATGCTTTTATAATTAAAAAAAAAATTAGTTCAGTAAATTCTTGATATAACGAATTCTAGGATCTGGATATCAACTTCGTTATAAGCTTATAACGAATTTTTTAAAGAATTTAATTGGCTAATTTACTATAGTAAAGTAATTTTAATATATTTGATTTAAAAATTTGTTATATCAAGAGTTTGTTATATACAGGTTTGACTGTAATATAATAATTAAACAAAGCAAATATTCTGATTGAGATGATTATTTTTATTAGAATTATAAAAAAAATATAACTATTGTAAGCAAAACATAATTTATTATTTTTTTTACTTAAATTAAAGAAAATAATCTAAACATTAGATGAACTAAAAAAAAAATTTATATAAAAAAAAGTATAAAAATTGCTAGTCAACAATGGTAAAAATAATAACAAAATTACACAAAATATTTTCTTATCAAAAATTTTTTACATAAATTTTTTTTTTCCATAAATTTCTTTATACATATAATAGATTTTTTATAAATTGAATATTTATTCATTAAATATTCACTTATGCAAAAAAAAATTTTTCTCAAAACTATCTTAAAAATGCTAAATTACAAATATTCAATAATATAAATAGATTACAAAGTGATCTACATATAATTGATCTAACAGAATCGATCTACTGGATGAGCTACAAATTAAACTACATATGCAATGCTAAACCTTTTGAAATGTTATTGCAGTTATTGTTGCAGATTAAATATGTTAACTATATTAACTATATTGACTTTTAGTAATAACAAAAATTTAATATTGACAGGAATTCTAAAAGAAATAAAATTTGGTGAGCAAGTAAAGCAAATAATAAAAAATGATAATGACAACTGTAACATAACAAATGAGGTATCAAATTTAAATAAAAAGTGTAAAAAGGTCCACTTTTATTCATAAACGTATTGGAAAATACCGTTCAAATTTTATAAAAAAGAATACAAATTTTAATACTTTACTAACTTAATCTAATAAGAATTATTTGATAATACAATTATAATTTTAAAATCAATCTCAAGTTTTAAATATTAAAAGGCAATGATTGTTAATTAAATATAACCAATTAAAAAATATTTGGTTAACTGATCAATCAAAATTGATCAAAATTGGTTAATTAATAAGTCAGTCAGAAACTTTTGACTAACTAATATTAGTATAGTAATGATTAGTTATAATTAAACCTCATTATAGTGAACTTTAGTTCCATCCAATTTTATTTACTATAATGAATATTCACAATAACAAAAGATTTCTTTATAGTGAATTTTATATTAATAAAAAAATTTCTTATAATGAATTATTTAAACTTTATTATTATATTGAATATTTAATATTACATAAAACTATTTAATGTGATTTGTTATATATTAACATAGATTTGCTTATTAATTTTTGATTTTAAAGTATTAAGAGTTTTTAATTCTATATAATTAACCAAAACATTATCAGACATATTTTTAAATTACTGAACTACTTTCTTTAAACTTCTTAAAGCTTTTTTATTAGAAATACTATTATTTGTTTCTAATTCATCAATCTCTTTCAAATCTTGAAATTACTACAGCAATAATTTCTATATTGGTTAATAGCTCTATTGCATCAATTGCCAATATACTATATTTTTGAAATTAAATTGATCAGAAATAATCAAATTTAATCAGGATAAGTTCAATATTGATTAGGTTTAAACAATGGAAAACAATGGAAATATGTAAAAATCAGTTTAAATGGTAATTTCCCAAACTTGATTTTCGTTAATTCAATAAAAGCATGTAATAAGTGGCAGAATTCATCCATTTTATTATTATTGGGTTTTAACAACGTCATGATTTCTTGTGAAAAAATTACTAAGATTTTGCTTAAACATATGTTGAGAATTTTTTCGACGGCACATGTATTGATGGTTGCAAGAGGAGAGTATCACATCTTCCTCGCATTCATTACTCTGCTTCGATCTCGACGCTTGAAGGAGAAAGATAACTAGAAATATCTTATTAGAATGACCATTAAGAAAGACAAATTTTCTTGGTTAACTGAAATTGATTTGAACAATTCTCTTTTTCTGTACGGCTCAAGGAGCATTATTAATGAGAGAATTCTTATGAACAATAGGGAAATGTCGTTACCTTGTTGACAGTTTTGTAATTTCACATATGTTTTTATAAAATGTTAAAATATTCTATTAAATAGGTTTCATTAAAGCATATTCGGAATAATTTAATATCAAGAAAAATAATAATAAGCTGATAAATTTCAACATTCAAGAGAAAAAATTGATCAATAAAAAAAAATAAATAGTTACTCTGTGATTTTTATGCTGTGCTGATGTTGATTCTTCAATAAGTACTCGGGTCATCGTCTAAGGCTAATATTTCAAAATTTATAAAAGTGAATAATTCTAAGTATTGTGTTTACTTACGTTAAACAAGTTGTTCATAATTCTTCTGAAATACTATATCTTCTCTCTATATTGGAAATACTCCTGAGCTGTCAAACACGTTTGACGTCGTGATGACACAAACACAATTACAGGCTTTATAGGAGAATGTCTCATAATATTAATAATTCATAGTAGCCATACGAGAACAATAGTGTCTTTCAGAAAATCCTTTGATACTAATGTCTAATGAAACAGGACGTACTGAATGACTAAAATTGAACAGTCCACCCTCATCAATACACAACCAGTCTGCTAAATCCTAAGCATTTGCTAAAGCTGTTAATAACCCAACAATGCGAACTTTATATTCGTTTTGAGAACTGATGTAATTCATTTGTGATAAAAAAACCTCTAGTATAGGTCCTCTATCACCACTGAGTAAATGAATTTCGTCAATAATCACAAGTGATACGATTTGAACATAACTTTTATGTTGCCAACTACGACTTATACCATCCCACTTTTCAGGTGTTGTAATAATGATATCGGCATTTTCAATAGAACGCAAGTCAGGGGTAACATCTCCTGTTAAATCTACAAGTCGTTTTTCTTTCATTGGACCGGTTAATCTAGCTTGCCAATCATCTATACGCTCGCGAACTAAAGCTTTTAATGGAGCGATGTAAACTATCTTGGAACGTGGATGTTCACAAAATGCCCACCTTAAAAAGCAGATAATATATTTAATATTTTCACACGTAAAATGTATGATGTTCAAAATAGGGTACAATTCATTCACTCACCACATTGCTAATTCAACAGTAACTGTTTGTCCTGATCCCGTGGGCACACCAATCAATACATTGGATGAAGAATTATAAAATGTGTCAAACACCTGAGTCTGTACAGGATTGAAATGATTAAATTTCTTAACACATATCTCTTCAAGTGATTTATTTTTCAGAGCAGTTATAGGTAATGGAGGTAAACTCAACAATTCTGTATGTTGATGATAATTTTCAGGCAAAACTAGATGGTTTAAGGAAACTGAAAGAAATGTCTCAGCTCCTATCCACCTATCTGATGACACGAATATATAATTGAGGAGGTAATTCTTGGATTGGAATTGCGAACCTAATCTTTTGAGTTTCTTCAAGTTGCTTCCTGTTTAATATAAAAAATTCTGAATGATATAACTCGATATTTTCAGAATCCTCGACGAATATCCACCATGATTATACAACACCGTGAATACTATTATTCCAAACGAAATCAGGAGTAATACTAAGAGTTACTCGTAGAATATTACATGTAATAGGTGCAACTTGTGCTACCAACTTTAGCATTCACAACATTTAGAAATATAAGCGTTCATGCTATTCTGCTTAACTAATTGTCCAAGTTCAGCCGAGGACATATCTATCATGTCCTCTAATGAAGTGGTGTGTGGATTATTTTGAAGCTTCGAGGCATTTTAAATTGAGCCAGAGGATTTTCAAACGTCCACATACGCTTGTCAATACATTTACATAATTCTAATAAAGTGGACGAAACTTGAGCCCAGTTACGATTCAAAGCAATTTCAAATAAAGCTCGGACTATGCGACTTGTATTCTGTACTACAAACGCTGAATCAGATATTAAGGCAAAATTTTCAACATTGGCATTTGATAGGCATGCTTGTAAGAGAATATTGACTTTTCCAGCGGTAGTTTGCTATTTGTATAATGATAAATCAAAAAAAATTGTTAGTAATTTCTTTTGAATAGACCTCCGTCACTGGGACATTAATACAACCTTAATTTAAAAAGGACAAGCATTTTCCTTAAGACTTTCAAGTTCTTTAACCTCCTCTTCTCTTGATTTCAAATCTGCAAATTCGCTGCTTTGACTTATAATTGATAGAATATTGGCTTCTTTATTATGTACTTTGAGTTTATCATTAAAGATCTCCATGCTTTTGTATGTTGTATAATAATTGGAAGCGATGCGACCAATGTCTTAAATAATCAGTAACTTCGTAGAACTTGATTATTCCAATCTTATGAAGTGTACTTGCAGCCTTCACAATAAGTTTGCGTCGTTGTTTACCTAACTCCGGATCATTTTCTCGTTCCAAATAATTCATTCCATATACAAGTGGGTTCATTTTCATACGTACAAACAGATACGTATAACCCAGCCATCGAACTCCTTCATCAACATTTGTCACAGTGCCGAGTGAAATCTCTGCATTCAAATT